CCGTCCGCATCCACTGCAACATCACGGTGAGGCCCGGGGGGCGCCGGGGACACCGGCCCGGTGCCGTGGGCCCTGGCTGCGGGGGCGGCCCTGGGACCCGGAGGCCACCCCGGCCCCAGGAGCCGGTCGGCGCCGCTAGCTCTCGGGTGGCCGCGGCCCGGCCTTGGGGCGAGCTGGGCTGCGGGGAGCGGGGGGAGCTGCCCCCCCCCACCCCCCGTGCCCGTGTGAGCGGGGTGCTCGGCCCCCGGGCTCCGCGGGGCTCCCCTCACCGGGAAGTGTCTCCCAGCGGAACGAACCCGGGAGCTGCATCCCCGAGGGAGGAGGGGGGAGCTGCCTGTGTCCCCCCAGGCGCCCCTTCCTCCCCCCGGGCACCCTCTGTGCCTCCTCGGGAGGGTTTTGGGGGGGTCCCTGGTGGCCCCGAGCAGTGGCACCCCAACACCCCACTCTTCGCCTCCGCTCTGGCTCATCCTGGCCTGGGTTTTAGGGGGTCCTGGTTGTGGGTCGGTTGGCAGTGGGGTGCAGGTCCCAGCTCGGGTGGCCGAGGCACAGCTGATGTTGTGGCTCCAGGCGAGGAGCAGCGGAGCGGGGAGAGCCCCCGGCGTCTGGGATTTTTTAGGGGTGACTGGGGAGCGGTGTCAGCGGCCTTGGCCTGGATTAAATGCGCTCAGTCTCTGGCCCTGCTTCTCCTCCATCGCTTCTGGTCCAGAGCTGGTGGGGCAGGAGGCACGTAGGGCAGCGTGAAATGCCCTCAGTGTCCTGCCTTAACTGTGTTCTTACCCCAAAAGTCCCTGGAGACCAAAGGGGTAGCCAAAATGTCACCACACTGCCTGTTCCCTCCTGCTCTCTTGGGCTGGGGGGAGGCGGCACAGAGCTGAGCCAGACCTGGGCTTTGGTTTGCCCTCGGCCCTGGGAGCAGCCTGGAGGGTGGAGGCCGTGGCTCATGGGCTGCTCTGATCTCTGGGGGGATCCGTTTGTGGGAGACGTGGGGGCTGCGGTTCCCCGTCCTGCCCGGCTCCTGCTCTGCTCCCCACCGGCTGTGACAGTGGGACGGGGGCAGCTGCAGCGGCTCAAATGGCACCTTCTCCTTCTCCCCAGGAGGCTTATCCAGCTGTTCCCCCGATATGGTCTGTGGAGTCGGATGATCCGAACCTGGCCGCTATCCTGGAGAGGCTGGTGGAAGTCAGGAAAGGAAATACGCTGGTGAGAGCGCGCTGCCTGGGGAGAGGGGAGGCCAGAGGCTGGCTGCTTGGGGAAGGTCCAATCCCCACTGCCACCCAAGGCGAGGGGCACGTCTGGCCCCATAAGGGCTCAGGAAGCTGGGGATGAGCGGCTCTGGCTTCTCTGGAGTGTGATGCCGGGGTGTGAGTCCCCCCCTGTGCCTGTCACTGCTGGGGTGGCTGCTGGACTTTTGCTCGCTCGTGTCAGCGCTGGGGACAGCTGAGGCTTGGCTCGGCGTGTGGGTCCCTGTGCTCCTCTCACACTTCTCTGCTCTCCGACAGCTCTTGCAGCACCTGAAGCGAATAATCTCTGACCTGTGCAAACTCTACAACCTCCCCCAACATCCAGATGTTGAAATGTTGGACCAGCCTCTGCCGGCAGAACCGGTAAGTGACTCAGGTGGAGACTTTCCAAGTCCATAAAACAAGTTCCCTGGACTTTGCTTTAGAGGCTGAGGCTCCCTGACCCCCAAAGAAGGAGCGCAGCAGGGGGGGTGTTGATCTCCTCTCCCTGGGGTGGGTCCGTTGGCCCTCGGTGCTGTTTAGTTGCTCTGATGTAGTTTCCTATAAAGGTTTCTTGGCTTTGCTCTGCTTTTAACTTGGTTCTGCTTGTAAATCCCTGTTTAACTTCACCTCAGAAGTGTCTGGGAATGCCGGAGAGCATTGCTCCGGGATGCTGACTGTGCCATCTTCATCTCTGCTTTTGTCTCTGCAGAGCACACAGGAAGAGGTGTCCTCTGAAGAGGAAGATGAAGAAATGCCAGAGGTAAGTGCCACCTCACTCACGAGGAAGTACGGTGAAGAGCTGAGTGCAGGGAGGTGCCCTCTGAAAGGTGCAAGGGCACTGGATTGTGTCTGGGAGGAGCCCCTGGAGTCCAGACAGGGAAGAGCCGGCTCTTTGCCTGCTGTTGGACTCGAGGACTAGATTGTTATCAGAGTTTTGCTGCTGGGGCCCCGGGTCCTGAGCCAGGGGTGGGAGTCATGTGTTCGCAAACCGCAGCAGCCAAGAGATGTAGCTGTGGCTTCCAAAGGCGAGCAGACAGGCTGAGAGCAGGGCCCCTTGGACAGTTTCTCTCTCCTCTGCTGCTCCTCTGCTCTAGAGCCTGAAGTTTGCTCACGAGTGATGGGATTTCCGAGTTGCCGTTGCTGGCGGGGAAATCACGCCGTGAAAATGGGAGTCCCACAGAGAGGATTAGGTAGGATGGTTGAGAGTGCGAGTGAGCTAATTGGCAGGAGCAGCAGAGGCAGCCATACTTCACTGCAGGCTGAGAATATCATGCTGCAAAACCCACAGGCTTCGGTTGTTTGGTTTGCGGTTTGGAGATCGCTAGAAGTGGGTGGAATAATCTTTTGAATCTCCATGGTGATGTTTAGCGATGCCTCACACGCTTCTCCCGGGGTGTGAGAGTCACAGGCAGCGGCTCCACAGAGCCTGGGGGGCAGGTCACTCCACAGCAGCCTGCCTGGCACTTGGGGTTTTAATAATAGTAATAATAATAGTAATAGTAATGATAATAGTAATGATAATGGGGGCTGACCTGCTGGAGAGCAGCTCTGAGGAGAAAGACCTGGAAGTCGTGGTGGACCATAGGATGACCATGAGCTGACAATGTGCTCCTGTGGCCAAGAAGGCCAATGGCATCCTGGGGGGCATCAGGAAGAGTGTGAGCAGCAGGTGGAGGGAGGTCATCCTGCCCCTCTGCTCTGCCCTGGGGAGGCCCCAGCTGGAGCACTGGGACCAGTTCTGGGCTCCCCAGTTCCAGAAGGACAGGGAACTGCTGGAGAGGGGACAGCAGAGGGCTGCAAAGATGCTGAGGGGCCTGGAGCATCTCTCTTGGGAGGAAAGGCTGAGGGACTTGGGGCTTTTGAGTCCAGAGAAGAGAAGGCTGAGGGGGGATCTGATCAACGCTTATAAATACTTCAAGGGTGGGTGTCAGGAGGACGGGGCCAGGCTTTTTCCAGTGGTGCCCAGGGACAGGACAAGAAGAAATGGGCACAAACTTGAACATAAGAAGTTGCACCTAAACATGAGGAGGAACTTCTTTCCTGTGAGGGTGGCAGAGCCCTGGCAGAGGCTGCCCAGGGAGGTGGTGGAGTCTCCTTCTCTGGAGACATTCAAACCTCACCTGGACACGTTCCTGTGGGACCTGCTCTGGGTGGACCTGCTTTGGCAGGGGGGTGGACTAGATGATCTCCAGAGGTCCCTTCCAACCCTGTATCATTCTGTGATTCTATGATTCTCGTAGCAAAGTTAATCACTTGCTAAATCAAGGCCGGCCTTTGCTGGGGTCCCAGGAGAAAAGGAGGAGGCTTAAACTGGTACCAGCGTAACCTCGTGTGTCTGCAGACTCGCTGCTTCGTGGCACATTTGTGATGTGCGAGTCCTCGCACTCCTGTGGGCTGGAAAAGGAATCCTCAGGAGATGAGTGCTCACCCTCAGGCTTCAGCATTCCCCCTCCTCGCGTCGCTGAGCGGGGACAGGGCTCCTGCTGGGAGCAGAGGTTTCTGGCTGAGCAGCTGGATTTGTCGGGCCGTGGGAGAAGAGCGGAGCAGCAGAGCCCTGCCCTGGTGCGGAGATGCTTGATGCAGGTTAATCCACTCGAAGGGATTTTCTAGGAGGAGCTATTTTCCCCTGTAACGGGCTAAAAATGTCAAAGCCCTTCCAAAAATGTTGCTCACCCAGGATGGCAGCAGGCAGCCTGGGGAGGCGGAAGTAAACATGGGTTTGGAGGATTTAGTACCGGCGCTGGAGCCGTGCGTACCCACAGCCCTTTGCAGGCAGCTTCCACGCCGTGCGTGCGTGGGGAGAGACCTCTGCGGTGCCCCTGATTGCTCTGACTGGTTTTTAATGGTTATTAACATCGGGGTCTGGCCCACATCAGCCTGAGGAGTGTTGTTGTGGGAAGGGATGAGGGGCAGAGCCTCCGTCGGGGTGGGGGAGAGCATTGGGAGGGTGATGTGTGGTGAAGAGCTGATTTACTAAAAGCTTCCAGAAACACCCCAAAACGACGCCTCTTTTTGAGGGGAAAATGTCCCACGCTGCTGCACCTTGTCTCTGAGGGTCTCTTCTCACAGACCTGTGTCTGTGCTGGGTTTTTGGTGGTGAAGGGGTGACCGTGTGGCCCAGCAGCACTGTGAGAGTCTGTGTTTTGCTCCTGCTCTCCAGAAACGTGGCGCGGGGCTGCCTGCGCCTTGTGCCGGCCGAGATGCAGTGCCCTTTGTTACGTGGGGCTCGTTCAGGAGTGTAAAATTAATGGCTAATTATAAACAGGTGTGGGGCTCGTCAGGGAGGAACCCACTGAACAAAGAGCCTGTACGAGCCCAGTTTGATTCTGGGAAGAGAATTGTGCCACTCTGCCTGCTGGCTTTGGCACAGGAGGGTGGCAGTGACCCGGGGCCCAAAACTTCTTCCCTGAGTTTGCCCAGAGTCTTCCACCCCCTTTGTGCCTCAGATCAGGGCTTGGGAATTCCTGGGGAGGGAGAGTTGAACCTTCCTGGTTTCAGGGCAGGTTCTGTCTGCAGTGCTCAGAGCAGGGGGGAGCGGGGGCACATCTCCTGCTAACTCTGCTCTGCCCTCCCCAGGACACCGAGGACTTGGACCACTATGAAATGAAAGAGGAAGAGCCAGCAGACGGGAAGAAGACAGAGGATGAAGGCATTGGGAAGGAAAACCTGGCCATTTTAGAGAAAATAAAAAAGAACCAGAGGCAAGATTACTTAAATGTACGTGTCGCCCGGCGGGCGGGGGGGTTGGGGAAGCAGAGGGAGCTGAGGGCGAGAGCGATGGAGGCGCCTGCTGGTCCTAAAGCAAAGGGCCAGAGGAACAGTGGTGGCTCTCGGGGGCTGATGCAGGGGAGTTTGTGAACTGCCTCTGCAGCTCAGGGAAGTAAGTGTGGGCCTCGGGTGTCCCCAGGGTGTTGGTGCTACATGGGGCAGCTGCCCTGCAGTGAGATCTGGGGTTCCCCTCTGCTCCCCGGGGCTGCACCTCACTTTGGGCCGTGGAGGTGGCCAGTGGGGTTGTGCTTTTGTACTCCCAGGCTGAGATTCTCAGGCGGGTGACAGGGCACAGAGGCCTGGGGTGGCGTATTTGGGGCAGGGGAAGGGGAAGACAGAGGTGAGGGACACGGTAAGGTCAGGTTTCAGGGCTGGAGGGGAGTTCTAGCTTGGGTGTGGGAGTCGTAGAGCGATGGCCGTGGTGGGCACAGTGTAACTGCAACTTCCCTCCTCCCAAATTCCTCGCAGGGTGCAGTGTCTGGGTCTGTGCAGGCCACCGACCGGCTAATGAAGGAGCTCAGGGATATTTACCGATCACCAAGTTTCAAGGGCGGTAAGTGCTGGGGGCGGGGGGCTCCAGGGAGAGGGGGCTGCTGCCCCTCTGCTCATGCTGGGGTTTTCCTCATTGTTCTGGGTGGCACCCAATGGGCCTTAGAGCTGTTCTGCTCAGCTGAGGAGAGGATCTCTGGCCTTGTTGTGGCTCTGTCAAGAGCAAGCAAAACTGCTGTACCAGCTCTGGGCCCTGCCGGTGCTGGAGGGAAGTGAGGAGCGTGCAGTGGGTGGGAGGATTGTCTGGCTTCGAGGTGCTCCTACCCCTTTCCCGAGCCCAGGGGCTTGGGAAAGAGCAATCGTAGGATTGTGCTGCCCTCAGGATGGTCCTTCTGGATAACTGCTGATTTTGGGGGCGTTCTGTGTCAGGCTGAGGGGGTGCTGGTGGGTCGAGGGGGTTTGGAATCCTGCAGTACCTCACCCCCTGTGTTCAGTCTGCCCCGTGGTGACACCCTGCTTCTCCTCCTTGCAGGATACTATGCAGTTGAACTCGTGAACGACAGCCTGTACGATTGGAACGTCAAACTCCTGAAGTAGGTGGCACAGCTTGGGATTGTGCAGTTGTGGTGGTCCCTGTGAGCCAGAGGGGCAGTGGGCAGGGCAGGGAGCACCGGACAGACCTTGGCTTAGCCTCTCTTGGGCAGCTCGCTTGCTGTCTCCTGCTGAAAGGAGATGACATGTCCAGAGAAAGATGAGATAATCTGGGGGCTCTGCAAGTCTGTCTGCTGTTCCTAGAGTCCTGGAAGAGGTGCATCAGACAAAACCCTGAGCTTTCACACCCTCCAGACACCACTGCTGCCTTTTCCTGGGGCCAGGCAGTCTTTATTTTTAAGCTGGCAGCATGCAAAGAGGGTGTGATGGTCTTCTCTGCACACCAGGAGCAGAATGCTGACAGCCCGTGCTGTCGCTGCCCTCTGGGTGAGAGCCCCAGGGCCCCGTGGCGGCTCGGGTGCGCAGGTACGGTGGCTGCGGGGTTCGGGGGCCGTGAGCGTGGCGGATTTGAGGTGCACAACCTCGACTCTGACCCTCTGGGGTTTTCCTTTGGCAGGGTTGACGAGGATAGCGCTTTGCACAATGATCTCCAGATCCTCAAAGAGAAAGAAGGAACAGATTTCATCCTCCTAAACTTCTCCTTTAAAGTAAGGCTTCTCGTGCTTCCCCCTCCTGGAGATACGCTGCTGCAGTGGGTCTTCAGAGAAGAGGTTTCTCAGCGGCTTTGCTTCCCTCCTCTCGTTCCAGGATAACTTTCCTTTTGATCCACCGTTCGTAAGGGTCGTGTCCCCGGTGCTGTCAGGGGGGTAAGTAGCTGTTTGTCTCCAGCGCTGCTTCCTGCCGTGGTTTTCACTCAGAGTTCACCCACAGCGCTGCGCGGTCCCGTTATTCCTGGTCCACGTTTGTAGTAGCTCCCCCAGGAAGCACATATCCTAGAACCGTTGGAGTTGGAAGGGACCTTAAAGATCATCAAGTTCCAACCCCCCTGCCCTGGGCAGGGACACCTCCCACTCAAAGCCCCATCCAGCCTGGCCTTAAACACTTCCAGGGATGTGGGTGGTGGATTTTTTGGGGGGTGGGAGGGCTGAGAGCTCCTCAGAGCAGTGCTCACCTCTGGAGCAGTGGGTGGGGGAGGCCGTGCCCATCTTTGACGTAACTTTGCCCGATTCCTCCCCCAAGGTATGTTCTGGGTGGCGGTGCCATCTGCATGGAGCTACTTACAAAGCAGGTGGGTACCGGTGGCTCCGTGGGGCTCAGCGGGGGCTTCAGCCTCCCGTGCTGTGTGTTCCCACTGCCTGGGGCTGGCTGGTGGCAGGATCCGGGTTGGCGGCTGCCCGCTGTGGCTTTGCCCCAGAGTCGGGGGGGGGTCTCTTTGCCCCCCTGGCACTGCCCTCACTGCCTTTGACTCTCTCCCTCAGGGCTGGAGCAGCGCGTACTCCATCGAGTCGGTGATCATGCAGATCAGCGCGACTCTGGTGAAAGGGAAAGCACGAGTACAATTTGGAGCCAATAAGGTGGGGGCTCGGCCGGGGTAAGAGAACCTGGGGGGAGGTCGGTGGTGGGAGGGAGGCAGATGAGCCGGCTCCGGCAGCGCGGTTGGTGTGGGGAAGACCTGTGGGGCAGCTCGCGCCGGGCTCCAGCCAGACTGACTGTCACCCCGTCTTCCCTTGCAGAATCAGTACAGCCTGACAAGGGCACAGCAGTCCTACAAGTCCCTGGTTCAGATCCACGAGAAAAATGGTGAGTGCTGGGGGAGAATCATAGAATGGTCTGGGCCGGGAGGGACCTCCAAAGGTCATCTCATCCCACCCCCCGCAGTCAGCAGGGACACCCCCAACCAGACCAGGTTGCCCCATCGAGCCTCACCTTGAATATCTCCAGGGAAGGGGCCTCAATTACCTCCCTGGGCAACCTGTTCCAGTGCTCCACCACCCTCACAGTAAAGAACTTGTTCCAAAGATCCAATCTAAATCTGCTCTGAGAGGACCTGCCTTTCCCCTCGCTGCTCCGGGCTGTCCCAGGCTGAGGATCTCAAGGAGCTGCTTGAGCTTTTCCTGCCCCACGTGCAGGGATGACCTGGAGCGAGGCAGCAGTGAGCAGTGGCAGCTGCTGTCTAACGTGGAGTGTGGGGCTGCAGCATCCCTCTGCCCTTCCCACTGGCCACCCTGGGCTCCTTTAGCTCTGGGTAGCGACAGCGTGTCACCCTGGGGTGGTCCTGGGAAGAGAAAAAGCCTCCCAGTAATCCGGGAGACGTGGCCCTTCCCAAGTGGGACTCGGCGTTGCTTGTGCTGCTGCTTTTCCAGCCATGGATTCGTGGCCCCCCCGTTGCCCCCCCCCCTCACAGCTCTCTCTCTTCTCCTTCCAGGCTGGTACACGCCGCCCAAGGAGGACGGCTAGCACGGATGCTGCGGGACCAACCTGATTATCTTCTGGATGTTCTACTTGGATCTTAACGACGCCTCTTGGCTTTCTCCCAGGATGTAATAGCTCTGCCTGTTGCAGGACAATAACGGCTGTTTAAAAACTCTAAATAAAACTGTTTAAGCAGTTGGACTGACCTGAAACACTTGCTGGACCCTTGCTAGCAGGCATTCTTGTTAAAACAAACTTTTGAGCCTCTTGTATCGCTGGAAACTTTCGACTCTACTCCAGTCTAGAGCGTCCTCCTTACCTATGCTATGGATTTAATTTATTTTCTTATTTCATGTACACTGCTTTTTTTTGTTACAGTGTATGATGGATGTGTATGGAAAATGTATCTTTGGAGAAAAATTACAGTTTGTTAATTTGAAGATGCTGGTCTGACTATTACTTTTTTTTTTTCCAAGTGGACGGTTCCCCGCAGCAGCAGCAGCAAACCCCTCTGCCGCGGGGCTGCAGCTCCTGCCCCGATGCTGCGCCGGGCGCTGGATGGAGCTGAGGGGCTGCCCTAGAGGTGGGGGGCACAGGAACAGCCCCAACCCCTTGGGTGCTTGGCTGCAAACCCCCCTGTCTTGGAAGAAGAAGAAAACCCTTCTTTTTTTTGGCAACCAGGGAGCCAGGGCTTCATCCCCTTCTCCCCTTGAGCAAGAAGAGACTTTTCTCTCTATAAACTGCAAACTCCTGCCTCCGGACGCGGCGCGGGGAGGATCTGGGAGCCTTTCCCGTGTCCTGCTGTGGATGAGACTCACCCTGGGGCTGCCGGCTCTTGCCCTGAGCTTCTCCACAGTGTCTTGCCAAGCAGTGAGGGATGAGCGGGGCCTCGGCTGTGCCAAACCCAGAGCTGGAGCCCTTGGCCCGTCTCTCCCCATGTGGAAGGGGGAAGGTGTCTGTAAGGGCCGCACTGTGGATGGAGGCTGCTGCAGGAGGACGGGGAACACGGGCCATGCTGGGGTCATCACCGCCCTCATCCCTGCCCAGGACTCTCTCCTGCAGCAAGGGGCTGCTTCTGCAGGGTTTGATTTCACTTTTCCTCCTCAAGCTGTCGTTCCTACTCAGCTCAGCGCTGCGGGGCTGAGGCCGAGCCCGTGCTGTGCTCCTGTCCTGTTGCTTCAGTCCCTGTTCTTCGCTCAGATTCTCCGGCTCGCTCCCGAAGGAGATTTGGGTGTTGGAGCTCCTCTAACTTCTGGGGCCGTGTCCTCGGCTGGAGGGCAGAGCTGACTCATCGCTGTCAAAGCCAGACCATCAGTATTAATGCACTGTGTTTGAATAAAAGTTATTAGAAAATCAAAGGGCCTCAGAAGTCCGTTATCTCCTCCAGCAGCTGTTCCCCTCCTCAGGCCTTGTCCTGCTCCCAGCCTCGGAATAAAAAGATGCTGTAGGAGAGGGATTACTGAGCTGCAAGAGCAGCTCCAGCCTCGCCCAGGGACTGTTTTGAAGAGCTGTGCTGAAGGACGGGAAGGTTTGTGATGCTGAGTGTCCATCCCTGCCCTGTGCTCTGCTCCTCCACCCCTCACCAGCACCCGGGGGGGTCCTGAGCCCCACCCAGCCCTGCTCCTGGCTCTTCAGTTCAATTAGCACCGAGGAACTTGCTGGGGAGGAGGGTGAAACAGGTTTCATGAAGGTTTTAAAAGCTTGTGGTGTTGCTGTTGGGTGACCCCAGCGATGGCGTCGGGTTGGGGTACGCTGAGTTGGTTGGGAGAGCTCATGGCACACACCATCCCAAATCCTGGCAGGTTTCTGGGCTGAGATCAGCAGGAGGGTCCCTGCAGGAGCCTCCACCATTTGGATGCCGACCTGGGGGGCGTCGAGGCAGGAACAGCCCTCGCTGGTGTCTGGCAGGCGCCCGCTGTCCCCGTCTGTTCTCACCTGCCTGAGCACTGGGATCCAGCCCGCTCCCGGCGGGGCTCAGCGCCCGGCCCCGCCGCGGCTCCTGTTCTGGCTTCTCGGGGAAGCAGACGTGTGGTGCCATCTGTCACTGCTCCCACCGCCTTCCCCGGTGCGAGCCGACGGGGACGGGGACGGGACACGCTTCCCAAAGGAGGTGCGTGGATGCTGCGCCGCCAGGAACAGCCACTGCAGCACGAAGCCACTGAGATGGCGCTGCCCATCCTTCTGTCTGTCTGTCTGTCTGTCCTGCTGTTGAGGCCCCCGGAAAGATTAAAGGGGGATTTAAATCTGCCAGGGAAAGAAAATGAATCGACACCTCTCACATTCACTAGCACCCAAGCCTGCTGGCGGAGGCACAGAGTTTTTCTTGGCCTCGAGAAGGCGAAGCTGGAGCCGGCCAAGATCCCGGCACCCGTTCGGGTGCCAGCCTGGCAGCGGCGCCTCGGCACCGCCAGGAGCATCCTGCCCGGCAGCGCCCTCGAGGAAACTGCCACCACTTCCTACAGCACCACCGGTGACCCCACGCTGCTGCCTGAGGCTGCCCAGTGTACCCCAGTACCCCCCCTGCACCCGGGGGTGGGCACGGTGCTGGGCACCAGCCGTCCCTGCTGGGTCAGGGTCTGTTCTCCCAGTGACCCCTCGCTGCAGCAGGACCCCCCCTCCATGGTCCCTGGGGACATTCTCCAGCCCCTGCAAACAGGAGGAGCCCCACATCCTGCCCTGGCAGGGGCTGGGGGAGGGAGAGGACACATCTTTACCTGCAAATGTGTTGTGTTCTTGAAAATGGGTCGGTGAGGGCCCCCCCAGGCTCCCCACAACCCAGCAGGAAGCCAAGTCGCTGGGCTCGGCCGGGGTTTTCCGACAAGGTGTGGGTACAACCGGCAGAAGTAGGTCTTCACCGGGGTGGTGTGAACCACAGCGGCGGCACCGAGCGTGGGGGGGCCGTGCTCTCACCCGTGGGGGCTGTACACGGCGGGGGAGGGGCGTACGTGGCTGAAGAGGGATGCTGAGGGTCTCCTGATGGTGGTGGGGTCCGGCCATAGGGGTCCCCGCCCGGGGGCTGTCTGTGGGGTCCATGCAAAGGGTCAAGCCCCCTTGTGCCATCAGCCTGGTGGGGCCCTGCGGTCTCCCAGCCCCACCGGGTCGGGACCCCCCTCCCGCCCCACCGCTCTCGGGGGAACCACGGATCCCGCGGCAGCCGCCGGATGGAGACCCTCTGCCCGGGGAGGACGGGGCCGGGGCTCCCCGAAGCCGTCGGGGCCGGTGGCCGCCCGCCCGGCCGGTGCCGCGCCGTCCCCCGGGGCCGCCCCCTCCGGATCTGGGCGGGAAGCGCCGGCCCCACCGCCCCCTCCGGCCCCTCCGGCTCCGTCCCGTCCCGTCCCGTCCCGCCGCCGCCGCCGCCCCGCACTGAGCGCTGGGCCCCGCCCCGCCACCGAGAACGCTCCGCCCCCCCACCACCACCGAGACCGCTCCGCCCCGCCGCCCAGAGCGGCACACACCCGCCGCTTCCGCCGACGGGGCGGAAGTAGCTCAGCGGGAGGGGGCCAAGCGCCGGGGCCGCCTCGGGGGCGACCAGGCCCGGAACCGCGTCGCCCCCACCGGGGCCTGTGCCCGTAAGGGGGCCCGGTGGAAGTTGGTTAAACCGTTACAAGAGGCTCAGCCTCATCCACGCGCGGGGTTCTCCTCCCCCTGTGTGGGGGGGGTGGATTTCAGGGGGGCTGGGGAGAACATAAACCGGGGTCTGGATCCGCCGG